ACAAGTCATCCCACAAAAATATCATACTAATTGTTTAATTAGGTAGTGAGGAATATAAATTTAATCAAACACAACTCCTATAAATAATCGGTTAATTTAATAACTCACAATATAGTTAATAAATAATTAAAGACGAGAAATTAATTGAACATTTTACTGAATTATTGCTTGAATGCATTTATGTTATAGACAGGCTAAAATTGAAATCATTCACCCATTCATTGACTAACAATTAATTTCACACATGATTTCAAAAACAAATATTTTACTCAAGTGATATATTTATATACACAATAAATATATATGATTTTGTTTGTAGTGATAATTTTTCATAGAGAGGAAAGAATTTTTAGTCGATAAACTATTTTTTTTAATAACTATCCTCTTAGTTAGTTTAAGTTTGATAGATTTTCTATGGATCAGTCATATAGTATGCAAGATATAAAGAGTTATCGACCGCCTAGTTAGTATATTCTTAACTTTTGATTGGTAATTGACCATCTTATTAGTACCGCAGTTATGGTTGAATATTTTATTATAATGACAGTATATTGACGTTTTACCGGAGATCTTATCCTTTGAAATATGTAATAGGTTGGTAATTTCATTTAGATTGTATGTGAACATTTTATCTTGGTTATTGTACCAATTACAACAACCTCATATCCAAGAGATGAGCCCTAAATATCATATCGCTTATCAGTATCTATTTATTCTAAATAACAAGTGACAAAATGATCGGACCAAAAGAATCAGAAGTGGATGCATATATGCCAACAATGTTTGATTAAAATCCAGTTCCAAATATCAATAACAGAATAATCTAAACACGTATTAATGATGAAATATATATTCGATCGGTTGAATAAATTATTAGTGGTCATCTGGTTTTATCAGCTCAGTGAATAACCAGTCTGGTTTGAGAATTGAATTGCAGTTCAGATTTAAACACTGGCACTATAATGCAATTACGTCCAGTTGACCATATGTCTTGGATTCCACTGCCAGACACAATCTATGTAGACTAAATTACAACAGCGCTACACTTTACTTTCTTCATTTTCACTGATAATCCCAGGTATTGATGAGATGAACATTAAGTAAATGTATAAAATAATCCACAAGCAATAGCTAGTATAAGTTTTTTAGAAATCTAAATGCTTACTTACACTGTGGATTGACGAACCTTCTATGTATTCAATATTTCAGATATATATATTTTAATAACTGTATTCCACAGAAGTTATATATTGTTGTGATTTAAGTAGTAATTAATGTCAGTTCACATTCATTTGTAAATTTACTCAAATAGGTCAGTGTATTGACGTTAAGAGTAAGAAAATTAGCAAATAATCATTGTATTGGTGTTGACAGTAGATTTTAGTAATAATAATATTGTATGCTAACAAGATTGGAACCAACTAACTACTTATATATAAAAAAAAGTAAATGAATTTTGACAAAAAAGAGCTATTTTTTTTTATCAGGTCAAATGTTTGGTGAACACTTTTCTGCATTAAAAGCCATAGAATACAGATTTTGTAATGGAATATACTTTTCTGATTTTTACCGATTACTCTTTCTTATTTTCCTACCTATATTCTTCGTACACTGTTTCTTTATAGGAAAAAAGGACTTGATATTGATTAAGTTTGCTTGATTATTAGATTTAATGACCTTATAATATTTAGTTAACTAAAAAAGAAATTCAAAGAACTAATAGACAAATAAACTAACTTTGTCATCATATTTATTTGCGTGAATTGAAATATGAGAAGGTGAACTTGTGATTGTTATCAGTGAGTTTTTTTTGTCGTTAGTTTTTATTTAACTTACATTGTAATGTGTGTTTGTGAACTTGAAGTTTGGTCACATTTTAAAATGTTATTTTTTTTAAAAAAAAGTTGTTCATTTTTTTCAGTTAGTCACAACAGTGGATAGTTAGTTTGAAAATTCTGATCATCTTAGAAGAGTATGCATATTTTCTATGCAATAGTAAAAGGTGACTTTGTGGTGATTTATGCTGAACAAAGAATTTGAGATTATAAATGCCTATCGACTATAATTATTTTTTCGTAGGATTAAACCATAACTGCCGTGACAAAACTATGTATCATCTTAGCAAGCTAATTTGATTTATAACGCTAACTACACGCTTCAGTTACGTCTTTATTGTCAAACGAAAATAAATAAAAAATGAATATCAGCAATATTTGCTAGGAGAATCAGCGGTTTACAAGAAGAAAAAACTTCAATACATCGAAAAAATTCAGCTCTCATAGAGAAAGTGACAGTTTCTGTTTTCGGATAGGATAAAGAAGGGTTGAAAATGTAAGAAATGAAGAACAGTTTTATGACGCATTATTAGAATTGAGACAGAATAAATCTTAAATGATCGGTATTTAGTTTTTACCTTAAAAGTTTGATCAATGATAAGCATAATATTCAGTAGGCAAGAAGAAAGTGAATTGCAATTTGTGTTTGTTAACATAAGTCAATTGTAGATCAAGACACTAAAAGCCCATTGGCGGTCTCCTTAACACTTAAATAGTTTGACCTATATAATCAGTCTCTAATTCTAACAAAAAAGTATGTTAAAAACATGTAATACAAAATATCGAACTAATTTTCTGGAATAGAAAGTAGAACAAATTCATTATATAATCATTTATGGAAGTTGTAACACCGAATTAGCAGACAAATCTTATTTCAAGTAGTGACATTTCAAATTGAAAATCCAGCGGATAATTATGTAAACAATTCTAAGACTTATAACTCTGTGTTTTGATTTTAATCAACAGATCTTAATTTCAAGATAAAACTGATCTGTATATGAAGTTCATTTCAACTGTGTAAATTAATTAATTCACTCATTCATTCACATTGTCAGATTAATAATCTAATTAGAATTCAGTTTGATAACCTATAATCAACTTCTTATAAAATAATTGATTGTTAAAATAGATTTTTATTTCATCTAACCTAAGAAGTTTTTTAGTATGATTATCAGTTTTACAATAATCCAAATTAATCCCTTTTGGTTTGTGTACAAAAAAGTCATTGAATGTTTATGACAGGCAAAGATTTTATTATTTTTTGTGGTTTGATACTGTTATTCAAGTAAGCCTACTACTACTACTATTACTATTACTACTACTACTTATTAAAATAATTAGAACAGAGTTTCGTTTTCTATTTGAATATATAGGAAGTAGAAATAAGTAATTATACTATTGGGATTATAGATAAGTTGTCTTTTTTCTTGTTGAATGACTGAGCTATAGAATAAGAATACCAAATGGATTTCATTATGTTGTATTTTATTATATGTTATCGTCAATTCGACGACATTATTATCTCTATCTTGACTTTCAACAGTTGATTCAATCAGACCATATCAAACCGCACCACTCAATTCACTCCAAAAACTGGTTCTGTTAAGAAGATAGGCTTTTATATGTCATCTGTACAGACAGATAAGCTGTATGAGTTATACAACGATTATAAAAAACAGTTCGAATCAACTTAAAATGAAGCTATTATACGTAACTTCTTACCATTTCGAACTGATTTATACACTGTTTTTTTTAAACTTTCATTCATAAACTAGCTCTTATTGCTACTTAGCTATTTTACCCTAATGACTTAGTCATAATACTCCAATTCATTTATTTATTATAACCTTAGAAATCTATGTTATGATCAGGTATGGGAGATTGAAATCAATAATTCCTCTTACCATAAGAAATGAACATAAATCAAGCTGGATATTTTATTAGATTGCATTTTATGTTCCATTTATTGATTTTCTTTGGTGATATAACAAAACCATTTTATTTTGACCTGTATTCTAGTGTATTATATTGTAGTAATTGTTGTTAGAACTTTGGTTTTCTTTGTTTAATCTGTTCTAAACTTGTTTCCGTTTATAAGTATAAAGATGCCTGCTTTTACAATCACACTCGATTGCAAGATACGTTACAAAAATGTTTATATTAGTTAGTTCAAATTCACTGTTTTTGGTTTTAAAAGTTTCATTCACGTGGTTAAAGCTAGCTGAAGAAATATCAGATACCATAGTTAGTTGAGAGTCCATCTTTTATTTACTGAAGATCAGTTAACAGTGTACATCGTCTGCCTCACGAGGAATAAAAAGTGTTATCTAGATTTATCGTAGTGAACACTGTACCATCTAGACACTTGATAAGAAGCAAACAGTAAAGCACCTGACTACTCAAAAACCCTGTGCTCACCATTGACCAAGTTTAAAATGAACTTCATCAATTTTGACGAGGAATCAAGACTAGTGGAGCTTAACCGTACTGGAGAGTTAGAAGATCATCTTTATCGTTGCTTGCTATAATTGTGAACCGTAATCTTTTAGCTTACGATCTGGTGGTTGGAAGATTAAATCTTCTGAGTGAAACCTGAAAGTTTTAGCTTTGATACCGTTTGAGAAAGTGAGTGAGTTTATCTGATTAGTTTGAAACGGTTGTTCAGTACTTGGTGCTTTTCAAATAGACCTGGAAGTAGTGTTTTCCCTTGATGACGAATGATCTTCAGGATACGGCAGAATTTGGTCTATTTGACAGAGATTTTTGTTAAGTCACACTAAGTCACTGTGACTCAAATCCAGTAAGCAAGCGATAGTATAACAAGCTATAGTGAGATTTATTGATAAACTATAAAATCCCACCAATTACTGTCATGTAACCAAAATGATTGTTTTCTAAAGTATGGATTATTTAAATGAACTGATGGAAGACAAAATCTCAGGAAACCGACTTGAATTTGGACTTCGGACTCTAAGGTTGAATTACAAATGCGATCCTAGAAACTCACTAGGAATTTTCATCATCAATTTACATACACAAGTATTCTGAATTGAAAATTATTAGGGTAAGTAACTTCGAATTCTCGCAAGTTTGTGTAAATCATTCAATGAAAAAACCTGATAGAACAGTTCAAGAATATTTTTTTTAGAAAATTAGTTGGCTTACTTGGAACAGATACTTTCGAAGGTTCACAAGACTTTGATTCATCAACTCCATGATTCGTTTGACTGGTAAGTTGTTGCAACATATACCGGTTACCTCCATTCGCATAGGTCACGTGATTATTTCCATTGCTGTTTATAGTTTTATCATTATACATTTTTGCACAATCTGCAGTAAATGTAGTAGTAGTAGTATTTTTAGTAGAATTATTAAATCCTGATGATGGTAGCCAGTAGTAACAAGGTGAATTAATGAATAAACCTGGTTCTGGTAAAAGGGCTGCCGCCGCAGCAGCAGCTGCTGCAGCTGTTTGAAAATTTTGTTTACTCCCTTCAGTATTGAGAATTGATTTTCTCAAATTAGCCAAATCATAACCGTTGATTGTTGTATATGCAGAAGCATTAATGTAATCCGGAACTAAAAAAGGCTGCATTAGAAAACTTTTCATGTATTTGTTATTAAGTAGTGATTTTAAATTAAAGTTAGAATAGTCTATGTTGTTAGTGTTGTTTGAGTTGTAACGAGATTTTCGTCTGTTTGTACCAAAGTGATGATTATTAAAGTGATCTGAATCTTTAGGTGAATAATTGGATTTTGATCTAGGATATAAGTTTACGGTATTTGATGCTTCAGCTCGTAACGGTTCATTCGTTGTAACTATAACACATGAGGTTGTGATAGTTTTTGATGTAATTGATTTGGAACTGTCAAAAATTTCTGGAATTGAATTAGACCGGGTAATTTCTATTGTTTTAACAAAACCAAGTGGTGAAGAAATTTCACTTTTTATTTCCCGATTCAATTCATTTATGTCATTCGATGTGTTGATATCAATTGAAAGATTATTGAAAGTGGTAGTTTCTATATCTGAAGAATCACCTTCATGATCAGATACATTATTGGATATTTGAGTGAATAGTTCTTTTCTTCTCTGGTTAACGTTATATGAAGTTCTATGAAATAAAAATTTAAATTGATAAGAATGAACTTCCGAAAATGTTCAATAAACAATTCACAGTCAACAAATATCAAATTCACTGAAGAGAAAAAAGTTCTTATTCAGATAACAGACAAAATCGAAGAATTTTTGTGTATTTACCCAATTCAAAGGTCATTTATTATGTTGTTTTTTTAAACTAGGTATAAAAACCTTTTAAATAATTGAAACACTAACATTCGTGTTATATCTACAATGTACCGTTTAAAAAAATCAATCAGGTGTTTAGAGCCAAAAATATCGTCATTGATGATAGGTTGTATTCAACACTATGAACAGAAGTAATTGCTTTGAATCGGATTCTTATATGGAATGATATTGGTGTGTCTATATTGTCAGTACTTTCTATCCATTCACATAATACAAGAATGTAACTATAGATAACAGATAATTGATCTGATCGTTATATTGCCTGTAAATGTTTACATTTGCTTCTTCAAAATTTTAAAAATTTGACTGAATGATTCACTCACCAATTTGATAGATTGAATTTCATCAATACTATTACTAACCAACTATCATCTTTCGCCATACAAGACTGCATATTAACAAATATAGTTGTTTGCATAAAATGACCCAGTGTTATGGCAGATTTATTAATTTTAAAAATAATCTAGTCACAGTTTCACGGGGAATGAATATCTTCTAAATAATCTGGACAATATATATATATTTTTTTTCATTTTTAGAAAAAATACACTTCTAAAATTTAGGAAATTTAAATATATATGCTACATTGGGATTTTAATTATCATTGATCAATGTTCCAGACGAAAAGAAAACAACTTTTTTCAAATTATTCTTACAAATGAGTTAATTTTTCATTGAGAACTTGGATATATATTATTTATAAAACCACACCTTATTGTGAGTAAAATTTTATTATTATTAATATTCTCATAATAAATTAATTAAAAACAATTGAATTTGTGTAGAAAAATAAATGTGTTTAGGAGGAGGGAAAACTAGAAGTTAAATTGAGTCATCTTGTGAAATTTGTGTGTTTGAAATGATTTATGTGAATACCAAATCACTTTTATTGAAATATGAAAATATTGTGTATGATTAAAGAAGTAAGACAGATATTGATAACTATTGATGGTTTAGTTATAAAGTTTATGTTAAATTAGTGTGCTAAATCTGTTGGCATTTCAATTCGTTGATGACTAGATTTGATAAAATGTAATTTCTATTATTTTTTTCAGGCTTTATATTGTTGTCTCATCCACGTACATAGTTTATCAGTAACTGTAAAACAAGTTGAGGTAAGTACGGTATCCAATGGACAGCTAGGACGCAGCTCGACGATCTGGACTTCGCAGATGACCTGGCTCTTCTATCGCACATGCAACAACAAATGCAAGAGAAGACGACCAGTGTATTAGCAGACTCAGCAGCAGTAGATCTCTACATACATAAAGGGAAAAGCAAGATTCTCGGATATAACACAACATGTGCTAATCAGATCACTGTGGATGGAGATGCCTTGGAGGACGTTAACACCTTTACATATCTGGGCAGCATCATCGACAATCAAGGTGGATCCAATGCAGATGTGAGGGCGAAGCAGGGGCTGCATTTCTACAACTGAACAACATCTGGAACTCCAAACAAGTATCAATCAACACCAAAATCTGGATTTTCAATACAAATGTCAAGACGATTCTACTGTATGGAGAGGAAACGTGAAGAACTACGAAAACCATCATCCAGAAGATACAAGTATTTATTAACAGTTGTCTACGCAAAATACTTCGGTTTCGTTGGCCAGAAACTATCAGCGACAACGTGATGTGGGAGAAAACAAAATAGATTCCAGTGGAGGAGGAAATCAGGAAGAAGTGTTGGAAGTGGATAGGACACACTGCGAAAAGCATCTAACTGCGTCACAAGCCAAGTCCTCACTTGGAACCTCCAAGGTAAAAGGAAAACAGGAAGGCCAAGGAAAACATCACGTCGAGAAGTAGAGAAAGACATGAGAAAGGGAAGCTCAGGACAGAGTTTGTTGGAGAGAACTGGTGGGCGGCTTATGCTCCATTGGGGGTTTCAGGTGTAAGTAGGTAAAGCAAAGTAAAATAAGTTAACGCTTTCATATCATTTAAATTACGATATGTAACCAAATGTCTCGTCATCTGATTAAATGGGTATATTAGGTGACGCGCATCAATGGAACCTTCTGGAGGTTGTGGTGGCGGCTATCTCTTCGTGTTCCTGCAAGGCAACGTGGCGTTGTTTACAGGGCTGCGGCTAAAAGCCGTTCCGAACGCTTGGGATGCCTTGCCTAGCATGGTCCAGAATAATGGTACGTGTTCATGGCCGCAAGGCTGTGGATGCGGTTAGCCACTCTGGGGGATTACGACTGAACGGCTCTAAGTCTGAATCCCGTCCATCGAGCGTAGGTAAGTCTGAAATTCGAAATATTGGGATATAGCTTTCCAGAATACTTGAAGACGGCCCTCGGCGATTCGTTTGGGGAAGAAGCCGTAAAGATCCTGGACGCCGACCCTATGTGGTTGTCCCAAACACTCTGCACCTCTGTGTATTGCGTGAATTGGCGTCGGGGCCATTTAAACAAGGGTCTCTAGTTGGGTTATGTGATCCAGTGCAGAAAGGGTACTGGACACAAATGATGTCTGCCCACTTATGTGGGATTAGTCCTGCTTGGTCGAGTGCTTGCGCTTTGATTAGTTCATGACATCTTCCCCATGGGAGGGTGTACGTTCCGGCTGACCTTGTGGGACAAACTCGATCTTTAGCTTCATGTAGGGTCTGAGGGCTCCGGTATCAGCGCAAGGAAGTTGGAGGCCAGACGGTTGGAATGGCTGTCGGTTAGTGCACTGCTGGGTGTCTCGGTGATCCGTTCGGGCGCCAGGTCTAGCTGGGAAAGCCCGCCTTGCCGCCCTTGCCGGTTGGGGATTGTGGGTAGTGGATTGGTTGGAGGGGTCTTGTTGATTCATAAGTGCCCGAACGGGGGCCATTGCTCATGCGCTTGCTTTTTGGACGTCCACCTGTCTGCAGACCAATCTAGACAACATATGCGTTCCCGTATGGGGCAGGGGTAATCGCAATACTGGCTATTGTGAGAATCCTTGTGCTAATGGTTAACCAAGAAAATAAGTTAGCGCTTTCATATCAATTAAATTCCGATTACTCACTAGTGGTATTAAGGCACGAAGTATTTTGATTCATTTGTTTGGGTAAATGTTTTTTTAGATATTAACAAAATTTTGCATAAGACTAAAGCGTCAGATAAAGAAAATCAACTGGAAACATTTTCTTTTTGACATAAACCAACTAATCAACATTGGAATCCAGTTTACACGATTTCATTCCGGTTGAATCGCTGAATACATTGCCATGCGATCAGTATTAATCACTAGACAAGCATGAGATTTACAGTTAATTAATTAACTGGTATGAAAAGGGTTTACGTGAGCTACAATGAAATATTATTATGGTTCATGTTACTGAAATAATAATTTCAGTTAAATTCTGGATTGTATCGTTTGAAAAGTACCAAGATACGTGACATGTATAAAAATGTTATTATGAGTTTTATCTCGACTGTTAATTAAAAAAAATGTTACCGCTATTGTCCATTGATTGCATTTTATTAGATATTTTTGTATTGAAGTGTTAAGGAAGGAGTTTAAAAATCAGTATTTACCTAGATTTAAAAAGATACATGTAATCTCGTGTTTTAAAATATGAATTTATTTAGCAGGCTATGACTTAGTTGTTTGTAATATTATCTTAGCTATCTTTAAAGATGCTAGTATGTTTAACCCCAAGAGAAATTTATAGGTACATGAAATATAAAAAAATTCAAACCTTATTTGAATTTCAGCCGATAGATTAGAGTTTTCGTTGATTATATTTTTCTCTGAAATACGATTAGTTCGGCTTATTGAACATGGAGAGGTTGACGATGGTGAAGATGAACTAAGGGATGTGAAAGATGATAAATCAGTAGTGGTTGATTGTTGACTTTCTTGACTAGACTCAATGTTGTTTTTAACATTATCCGTAGTAATTGAACAGTCTTGAAATGATGACTGATTGTTGACAGATTTTGTTTTAAATGTCTGTGGATATATTTTCTCCAGATTATGTTGTTGGTTGACCTTAGATGCTGGTAGTGTGCATGAACTTGACGAGGATGTTCCTATCTCACATGCAGAGTGTAATCCATTTTGTAGTTTCTAAAATGTATCAGAAATAACATTGAGTATGAATAAAAGAAATTTCTATATTCATCAGTTTTGATAATTATCTACAAATTGGCTAATTCAATTCTTTGGAACAAATTTCCTACTCGGACTCTGAACTGGTAAAGCACAAAATGTTATCTAAGTCATTTTTCTTTGTTGTAAGTTTTAATTAAACTACACTATTGTCTGGGATTTTATGCACAGATAGTTACAAAAGAGAAATATCAATACTTGATATTGTAAAACTGTCAATGATAAAAAATCAAAATCTGCTTACATACTGAAATAAGTATGTCAAAGCAGTTAATGGAAATTTCTTACGCTTCAATGAATCTTTTATTTAATGGTACAAAAGCGTCTAAAAAAATAGTGATGAGATCTTAGACTTATTCCAATCTCATCATTGTCATAATTTATTTAAACTTAGAAAAAAACACCACCCACAACTCACTCTTCGGGTTTTTACCAATATCTGAGTTTTGAAGTTTCACTATTAGTGGAACCACTTAGCCGTTCCAGCATGTCATTAAAAGATAGATACGATATGACCGGATCGATTGTTGGAGCGGGGAGTTAACGGCTACCTATTTTTAAAGATACACTTAAAAGCAGAACTAATCAATAAAGTAAACCAACAATCAGTCGGCAATGCACGTTCGAATTTACGCATGTGGTTAAGTTGGTCAGTTCAAGCGTATAACCTAGATTTTGGACCTGACGATAATCAATAACTAGACAACATCAAACATCAACTATTCAGACAGTATATGATTTAAATCCAATTCTGGATTCTGTGATATGATATCTTTACTGAATCAATAGATTGAGCTACTGATTGTCGAACCTTCTTTTGAATAATTTCATCATTTGCAGTAGAAATAGAAAAAAACATGAGTCATCAACTGCTATATTTTATAATAACATTTACAATATCTAATGGCCTACCAAACATAGTTCTACCATACTCAGAGAAGTCTCAAAGTGATAAACAATACGATATAATTCAAAGCCGTGACCAGTGGAGTTCAACTCAGCGGGGTGTAGGCAAGAATTACCGAAGATGATGGGTGAGGTTGCGCAATACCTTAGATTGATCAAAGTTAGATATTAACACCACTGGATGACGGTTCAGTGGTCTGGAGGTTAAACGTTCAAGCGTGAGACGGAAGGTCATGGGTTCGATTCCTGCGAGTGGGGTTCGTAGACGCACACTGCTACTGATGAGTCCTAAACTAAGGGGAAACGGCCCTCCAGTAATTTCATGTTTCTAATGGTTGTCTCACAGTGATCGGTTCATGATTTCAAATATTTCAAAGGACCGATTATATAATATGAAGCCTGTGTTGTTATGCTCTTCTTTCTCTTCCAGTTTTATTTCAAGTAAACAAGTGAATGACTTCCTAATTCTATATATTCGAATATATATATACTCCAACGACATAAAAAGGAGTAATAATTGTTCCTTCATGGAATATATCGTTTAATTATGAGCTCATAGACAACTAGTTTAGTTAATATTTAAGCATGTCTACTAGTAGGGATAAAAATAATAGAATAGTCCAAGTTCTAGTCAATATTTCCACATAGGAACAAAGTCAAATTTGGATAAATAGATTTTAAAATAATCATAACAAGTATGATTAAAATTGCATAATAGGTGTGCAAATATTTGGAATTGGATAGATGGGATTAAGGGAAAACCAACAAACAAATACAGGATATCTAAAGATTGTACTGATATCATTTACTACGTAACATCTGTGGAAAGAAGGGGTAGGTGTATCACCAACTTCTTTTGAATACTTAAATTTGGGTCATAGTTTCGGATTCCCGTAGCTTGTGCCATATTTAATGAAATGGGATAGAATCGCACTGAGAAATGACGAAGGTACAAGATGGATCATTCGGATTGATCTAGTTTTATCTGTCGTATGATTGCTGTTAACAAGATGTGCCAAGGAAAGCTATGGATTGTCATGATTGGTACAATATTTTGACATACTTTTCAAATAATAGCGTAAAATCTGATGACATTAAAAATAATATTGTTTGTTTATACGTACTTTCCGAAAACACAATTTTCGAATCGTGCTAAATGCAAACGTGTTCACACTAAATTTTCGTGATGTTGATCTATTGTTTAATTTCATTGTTCTGTATGCAAGTGAATAACCTGAACGTAATAAATGTCGCCCTCATCTTAAACAACGTATTCAGTCCATAATCACCAATAAATAAATGGAAAATTCAAGCTAACATATGAAAGCTTAACTATCGTGACTATTATATAATTTTCTGTTTGGTTTAATTGACATAAACACGTGACTGATAGTGTCTTTTGAAACAGTATTTTATTTGGTTGCTTCGACAGTAGTAAATCAGAAATTTCTAAACTAAAATTTGGTTATCCTGCAATTAAATCACTCTAATATGATTTATTGAATTCTTATAATGAATAAATTTTTTTAAACAATGAGATGTAATAAATAATATTGTTTGATATGGTTCTATCGAAAAGATTTTCGCCTACTAGAACGCTAAGTATCCTTTAGTGAATATTTTCTAAATAGGTGAGCGTCCTTCAACAATACCGATTGATTGCTTTTGTGCAGAAGATATTAATCCCCATTCACTTTAAATGATTTTTGATACATAAATCGATTTCAATTGATATATTACATTATACCCAAAGGACCAGACGAACATGATATTGGTCATTACTCTGTGACTTAAAAACCTCTAAATATCGCCGTCTTACAAGCGATCAATCAACGCCTATATAGTGAATTAGTGACGTAAAAAACTGGATGACTTAACTGGGAACCAAAGAGCGATCATCAGTTAGTACACGTTTATCGGTATGCCTCACTGACTAGTACCAACTGTTACGAAACCTAGGTCCAGGATATCCTAACAACTACAGCCAGACACCTAACATAATATCTTTAAGAGTTTATCTAACAACCATATTCATTTAAGTATCACGAATTTTCTCTGTAAAAAATCCATTTATTTGATGTATGTGAATTTCTTTTTTGATTTATTTGATTTGACATATAAAACCCAAAAGGATAGAATCTATTTCATTGTAATACGACAATAAATAATAATTGTGACACCTTTATCTGTGTCCTTTTATCTAGTGAATTTATGCTTAGAGTAGATAATATTTTCTTCTCAGGAATTCTTTCATTAGTTTCGATGACAACAACGTTTTCTAAAATTACTCATAATCATCGAAAAAAAATTCCTCTTACAATTAGACTTATTAGAATTTTCACATATACTTATCAAGAAATCCACTTTGTGTAATTAAATATCTGAAAATAGAAGTAACGTTTAACAATCTTCATAAACTCCTCATACTAAAACTGTTTATGTTTAATCTAGAAAACAGAAGAAATGGGAATAGTCTAAATAAGAAACAAGCTATTGAGTTTGTGATTATCCTAATACATTTCTCCACACCTGATGAGAACATAAACGGTTTTTGATCATTTCAAAATTCGGTAAAAAGGAAGGGTTATATTCGAGTCTATGAATTTTATTTTTCAATCAATAGAATTTATTATGTATCATTTAGATGTAGAATATGGCAAAATCTAGTAGGAAAATATATTTTTCAACTTATCCTACAAGGTTTTCGAAACAAAAAATGAAACCGCTAATTGTCGCTTAAATACGCAAAAAAACATACGTCGAATTTCAGACATCTATACTAGTGGGCGATAGGAGTTGTTGCTTAATGGGTTAAGAACTCATTTTTCAAACACTTAATTGCAGAGTTTAAAACCATTTCAGTTTTATTTGGATAGATGTGTAATATCACCAATCTTAATACAATAAAGTACATTTGTAGATACACAATAACAACAAGTCATAAACCAAGGCAAAACTGGATTCTAAGTCAAGCTACAAATCATTTATTCTGTTTTGACTTGCATCATATCGAAGCGATACTCATAATATGCATTAAATAGCAAACAAACTGGAAATTCAGTAAAAATGTCAACAGACATATAATCTAATCTGTTTCGAATTGAAATAAAAGAACTGATGTTTTTTCGGGGGGGGAGGGCTGTTAAGCCTCCAGTATCTCTTGAATTCCTTGTGATTAATACAGAAAACCTCAAATCTGACGACGCACAGAGAAAGCACAAGAACTGCTAATATGGATTTATTTGCCACCGGAAATAAGTCAAAACAAACTCTACTTTTCAAAGAATTTATGCACAGTCATATCAACAATCAAATCCGTGTAATGTAACTGTAGAGTACGTAAAATCTATTAATCATTAGCTTACTGATGGAAAACACTTAATCATTTTTGAATGTCATATAAATATTTCTCAAAATGTGACTACATAAAACGAAAAATCGATTTCGTATGACGATCACACTTCAGTCGATTAAGTCACTGCTCTCTATTTCAAAAACTACGGCTCAGTTCACATGAACTAATGTTTGTCTTTCAGTTGAGGTGTAATCATGATAGAAAGTTAAATTTGTCAAGAGTAATGTTTAAAAACCCAACAACCCGCATCTTTAAAGATCAACTATCTAAGGGGATAACAGAAAACAATCTAACGCAACAAATATCATCAAGATGGTTAACTTTATGAAACTTTCCAATAAACCATTTCACATGACAATAAAAATCTATATGATACTTTTCGTGTGTAATTATCTCGTCAACTAATTGCATCAATATTAAATATTTCAGTTAAATTTCCTCAACGATGTTACTTTAATTGTTCATGTTTCACTTTTCTTATTGAATGAATTGTAATATCTCATCAATTTTCAAGTTATCATAACCGAACAAGAACTCGTTCAAGAGACAATTTATGGCGAAATTCATTGAAAACTCAAAAACATGAAACACAATACTGCATTTATTCGCCTACATTACTGAATTAAACATTTTTTAACTTATAATGAAGATGATTAAAAAGGTCAATTATGAACGAATTCAGTTCTGTAATATATAT